TACGACGTAAAACTTATTTGACAAGGTTTTGATTGACAAGTTATAAAGGTGATAAATTTTACGTCGTAAAAGATACGAAAGTCAAATTTGTGCTCAAAGTGTTTTGAACAGTAATGAACGCCATAGTAACGCGTAGTCAAAATTGAATTTTACGTCGTAACGCGAAGCTCCTCGTTTTGAAGAAGTTGAAAGTCCACTAAACGATGATTGAATTCTCGCCGTAAAATAGACGTCGGTGTATTTGACGCCATTCAATAGAATACAAGGTTTTACGTCGTAAAATTTAGGACGTGATATCTGAAAGAGGAATTTGATCCTCTTGAACGTAAAAAAGGTGTCAGAAAGTCAAATATGTGCTCAAAGTGTTTTGAGCAGTAACGAACGCCATAGATACCTCTTCCTTTCAACTGAACCGTGATGATTGGTTTCAATCAAATCAGACAAAAAAAAATCCATGAAGCGCACAATCGCTGCATGAGATTTCACAGAAGCATTTCTCGGTGAACTCATCTCTTTACGACTTGCACCAAATGACGGAGCAGACCAAATAAGGAAAAACAACACATTGAATCGTGATCAATTGTGTCCACTTCTTCCGGCCTGAAAATCGTCACGTCTCACAAAAAAGTGGAACAAACTCTAGAGTCGGGAGCGGCTTTTCCCCCGAAAATGACCCTGTCCATCATGTAATAGACATCATCATACCAACTGGGATGGAGTGTTACAGAATAGCTGTAATCGAGTGTCTCCAGGGAATACTAGTCTGTTCCAGAACGTTTGCTATTTCCTGTTATGAAAACATCAGTGACACCGGCCTAAAAATGCGTTCCACAGGACGGACTCTACTTATGAATTCCCCTCTCTTCGTTCATTTTCCTTGTTTACTTATTTTATTCGTGGTTGTTCAGGAGGCATCCGCGCGCGAATTGTGGAAGTGCTTCCATAATTACGTATTTGATCGAAGGTTTCCTGTATTTAGCTGATTAAACTAAAGCGATTTGCGTCACAATAATGTCGGGTAGCGCCCCTCCCTAATTATTTCTCAGATTGCTCACGATATAAATACAACCAGTTATTGCCTCGGTGGACAGATAAGGAGGGTCAATAACACGTAAATTAGACTTGGAGTAGTTTATCCAGTTCACATCAATCGCTTATCCCAAAACACGCGATGGCAGGACTTCGTAATGTGTTTTTTACGGGAATCGTTTTGTTTTTCCTCGCACAGAGAATATCATCAAATAGTAGTAAGTCTTTGATTATCTTGTATATTTTCCATTCATACCTTTTAAGACAAGACAAACATATGCCAAGTCGGGTCATCGAATTAGTGCCTTTATATTCGAGAGAATTATCGGAGGCTGATCTACAGAGAACTATCGTCTACCTTTTCTTAACATTAATGGCGTTTTACAGAGAATAAAACATCTTATGCCAAGAAATACAAGGGAACTCTTTGTAAAAGCCATGGTGCTGACAATCCTTGATTATGCTGATGTGACTTGGGGGGATAAATCCAACACCACTCTGATGAACAAGATCCAATTACTCCAGAATAAAGCAGCTAAATTAATTTTAGATATGCCAAAGCATTCATCAGCAACAGAAGCTCTTGATCTACTTGGTTGGGATACATTGGAAAAAAGACGAAGATCTCATCGTCTATTTTTGGTTTTTAAGTCCTTGAATGGACTAATTGATTGGAATTTTAATTTTAATCATTTTAAAGACATGCATGATTATAACACTCGTTTTAATAACAACATTTGTAAACCACAATCAAAGCGTACATGGGGTCAGCATCGGTTTGTTTGTCATGCAGTAGATGACTGGAACGCTCTCCCAGACGGCATTAGGGACATTTCCGATTTTTCAGTTTTTAGACGTCTTGTTAAAAATATGTAGTTTCTTCTATTGATTATGCCCTTTTATCCTTTTCTTGATAACCATATTTATATTTTCTGTTATCCTTACCTTAGATTTATGCAGGGCCTCACTGAAAACCACACTTTGTGACGTGGGCTCCCTGTCAAAAGATCTTACTTATAATTCTGTAGGGATGTCACTTCTTCAAGCGGCGAAGAATTAAGTAGAAAGCCTCTCCAATGGCAACGCTGCGTAGCTTTCGCCGGCCGAGTCACAGGGTTATCTTATACGATTTTAACAAACAGGAGAAACAAAAGAACGAGCAACATATCATAGATTACATCTTAAGTTACTGAAATACATGCAAAGCCATTTTCTTTTCTCTGAAATATTGTTCATTGAGTTTTACATCTTTATAATCCTGTAGTCTGTCGGCATCATTAAAGCTACTTTGCGCAAGTTCCGTCCCGCTTTAGCGAGCGTTGAGGTCAACTGAGGCGATGACATTTTTTAGAAAACTCAGAAGCCCTGGTTTAAAAGTTTACTCGTGTTATATCTTGCAAATTCTTGTAATTGAATTCCACCGACAACAATCGGAATTCTCCAGAGCAGATTTAGGGTTCGTGCAGGAAACTATTAGTCTAGTCTATCAAGGTATTCGTTTACCCTGAGCAAACCTGAGTTCAGTCACGGTTATCTTTGTTCTATCCTTGTTGTATTCAGTTATCTTTGTTGTATCTTTGTTATCTTTGTTGTATTGAGTGTTTCATTTACAGATCATCTTTGTCAGAATAAAATTTCCCTTCACGCAAATCTATGACCGTTTGTTATATCGCTTCATTCGTGTTGTAACAAGATTACGTGAGCCACACTGAATGAGCTGAAACGTGAAACGCCAGCTTCAATAATCTCCTACTATTTATTTTCTTAACAGATCTTCCCAAAGAAATCAATGTTTTCGATGCAGTGGGACTTGGCAGCAAGGTTTTCCCAGGAGTCTCGTCAACGACCGGACAAAACAACAAAAGTCCAGCATACCTCTTCACAAAACAAACGAATCACATGATCGCAAGTCAAAACGCATTTGAAGAGGTTGACAAACTCATCCACAACAGCAGTGATTTTATTGTCTCTGCTTACGCCAAGCTCATGGCTAAAGAGATTTACAAAAACCCTATCGTGTCCATCAATTCAAAGGACGGTCATCAATTGTACTTCCTTCTACAGATCTCGTGAGTATTGCGTTTATTTTCGAGTAAAGTTTTTTCCAGCTAATTAAATGGCGAATTAATACTTCCGTTGCGAATGTGGCTTTGGAAAATCACTCATCATTTCACACTATTAGAAAAGCACATTTCACTTTCTTGAATTGACGTTTCTCTCTGAGCTAGAGCTAATTTCTGTTATCTGGCTCTGCAGCAGTAAAGCAGAGTCGCTATAACTTCACGGAGGAGACAGCCACGAAATTGCTGAATGTCGACTTTTATCATTCAGCGACTTTGCTTTGAGCCCCTCTGAATAAAACCTTTATTCTTGCATGGCTTCCGAAGCTGCGGATTTTTAACTTTTTTGACACTCGGCGAAAGAGGTGGTGGAGCCGCCAAAATAAGTGGTGGAAATTGAACACCTGGATTTTGCCCTTATCTGACAGCGAAAATGAATTAACACATGCATAAATAAAGCAGTCTGTCAGCAGAAATCATGTCAAAATGGCAGCCAATGCTGTTGAAATTATTGGCCATTTCCCATAGTATGATTGTTTTAATCTGTTTAGCCCTTCACCCTCCGAAATCCGTGTACATATCCCATGGTACTGATAAAGAGTTTTTCTTTTTTTGACACGTGAGTAGGCGATCATTTCCTGCATTCCCACTACCTTATCGTTTGATTAAGCCAAGCCTGCGTTGCAGCCGGACGTGTCACACAATCCCCGGTATAGTCCGTCTATACCGGGTATAGACGGGTATATTCCCGGTATAGCCCGACTATACCGGGTATAGACGGGTATATTCCCGGTATAGTCCGACTATACCGGCGGGTAGACTGTCTGCGACGCACGCTAATTAAGCCATGATGCTGTAAGGAAGATTTTTTAAAAAAAGGATCAATTAACCCTGAAGACAATAATCCCGCTGAAATCGAGGCACCGCTGATTTCCATCGGTACGCGCGTCTTCTCTCTAACGCGCGTGTTAGTCACCTTGCTTTCATAGTCCATCAGACATCCACCTATCTCCTAAGCTCAGGTTAAATCATGTATACACTTTTCCTGATGCCATTTTTCTTTTCCTTTTATTTCATCAGTTTTTCATTAATTCTATTATGTATTCATTTTTTAAAACATTTTTTTTTTATTGTGACTCAGAGGGAATCAACGAGGAACAGGACTTGAAATAGTTGTAACAGTGCAGACTAAGGGTGGTTCTCTCAAAAGATTTCAAGTCTCAAGTAGCAGATCTTTAGACTACACAAAATGGCACAAGATAGCAGTTCGAATTCAGGAAGCTGAATCCCTGCTGAGGGTGTACGTGGACGACAGCATGATCAATGTGTTTTCCTTTAAATACACCCCTCAGCCTTATCCTAAAGATGCACAGCTTCGTCTCGGACAGGTTTTCGAGGTGTACTCAGAAAACACTGGTGAAATTACTTCACGATTTAGGGTAAGCTGTTATGCAACCAGACCTTGCAAGATTCAAATTTACCACTTACTCGACGTGCTTCAACTAACGTCTCTTTAAGTTGCAAAAAGTGTGGAAAATAAATAGTCCACATTTAAAATGTAGGACCCTTCTAGAAGTTTTTAGCCTTGATTTTTCTGAAAGGGATGTTTTTTTTTTTCACCTGAAATAGCAACCTTGTGCAAGAAAAAGTTATTTTTCCATTGCCCTTCTCTTTTTACATATTTTTAATTTTGCTAGTCTTAGGCTTTCAAAACTCTGCTGTCGTAACATTTTTTTCTTGATTTTTTGTAGGGGGATCTGCAAGATGTCAAATTTGTCAAAGGGTCACCCCTAAGCGACTGCTCCAGGATCGCAAAGGTAAGCGATTGTCGATGTTCAATCTCGGTTCGATGTGAACTCCAGCCACAGATGTTTGAGATGAATACTTCAACTCCCATGAACGACCAAGACATAATTTCAGCTATAAAGCAGACATAAGATAATAATAAAGAAAAAGATATCAATAAGTTGATCCTATATCAAATTCTCGGAACTAACTTCCTAGAACTGTATAGCAGGCAGTAGGGAGGGCTATTCATGAGATCTTGGGGATAAAAAGTTTAAAAAAACATTCTAAAAGTCATTTATTTATTAACTTCAATTTAAAATGTAATTTAGCTATCAGATGCAAAATATAGTTTTAGTTGTTGTCTTTGTAAATTGTACGGCTCAAGGCTGTTGACTTTCTGTTAGCAAATGCTGGCGAGATGTCACGAAGCCGCCATAACAAACATCAAAGTCAGATACTTTGAAATGCTTCTAGTAGCTAGCATATGACAATTTACGATCGATAAAAGCATTATTTTAATTAATAATTTTTTATTCTCAGTGTCAATGCACTGACGTCGTTGGTAAAAAGGACTGTGTAGTTGATGGACTGAGATACGCAGACGGAAAGCGCTGGACAAAGGATAAGTGTAATATTTGTCACTGCAAGGTGAGCATGCGTACTAAAACCGGTCGGAGTTCAAAATTCTACATAACGAAAAGAAGTAGCTAGAACGTTTGAGTAAGCCACATTTTGGAAGAAACGAGCCAGGGTTTGTCTTTCTGAGTTTGTCCCCGCGAACAAAAAAACTGATTTAAGGAATATACGTTAGATCACAAATGAGAGTTCTTTATGGCTCATCCGGTGAATCTTCGATACGACCACGTAATTAGAATTGGTCAGTTGGAATCCTCATAGGACACTTCATTGTTTATCTGTCATGAGCTCGTTTTAACTTAAAGGAAAACTATGATCTGAAACTAGTGATAATCATGTATCAATAAAGTGCGTTTAATCTCAAGTAGAATAATAGTTTTCACAGTTCTGATTGCCCAGAGTTATCTAGGGAAAGTTGATTACCGGTATACTTTCACATAGGCAAAACAATAAGGTTTAATAGCTCTACATCCTGGTAATGGACTTCGGTCGAAACGAATAGAAGAAAAAAAATTAAATAAAGGTTCATTCTGTGTTCAATAGTAGTTCACTTTGCGCGAGTCCACTTGCTGGACTTCATTTAGCTAGCGGGATTTAAAATTCTTGCATGAAATTGAGGCGTGTGGTTAGCCGATCCAAGATGGCGCCCAAACCTTAGAATTAGCACAGCATCTAGAAAGAAGCGACAGGAATCATTCGAGTATGCGTTTGAGTATGCGTTCTTCTCAAGTGGAGCGCAATTATGCTCGCAAAATCTGTTCGTAGTTGTTTGAATCCTCGTTTTGTTATTCGTTGCGTTTACTTTAAAATCTATTTTTTCCAGTGGGGTCAGGTTATGTGCACGCACACGTGCCAAGTCTGTAAGGATAATGGTCAGACCTATATGGAGGGCGAGACATGGAAATCAAGTAACGATAGTTGTTACACCTGCAAATGTGAGGTAAGCGAATCTTTAATTATGTGAGCAAGGATGAACAAAGAAAGGCCATTAATTTAATGGAAAATGAATTATTTACTTATTGATCTGTTCCTACCCTAGGATGGTAAAGTCACATGTTCACCCCCAGTCTGTGCGAAGCCTGACTGTAGCGGGAAATCAGGTGTCCTTGTAACTCTTAAGGGACAGTGCTGCCCAATTTGTAAAGGTGAGTGTTCATTAAAAATTCAAATCATATATCACAAAAATTCAATTATTGCGCAGGCATCTTGTCGATCAGCGTCTTCTATCTTTCCCAACAGTTGTGAAAGCGTTTCAAGGCAAAGTTTGAGAAGGTCAATCGCGCTTCATATTTAACAATTATTCGCCGAAGGCGAGGTGAATATTGTCGAATAATCCCCGAGACGAAGTTGAGGGGATTATTCGACAATATTCACCGAACTTGAGGCGAATAATTGTTTTAATATAATTTCAGAGCTGAACAACAGAGAAATTTCTAAGATCATAACATTTTAGTAACACTTATTAACATTTTAGTTTAACATATTATATAAACCGCGCGGAGCGGTTTATAAAGCGTCATATAAGGAACCGCTCGACCAATCAGATTGCTGGAAACTCTTTGTTCAGCTCTGAAATTATACTAGAACAGTTACTCAGATCTAATCCTTATCCTATGATATCAGTAATTTTGAACGTTTTTTGCTCGTAAAAATTCGAACTAAGCTTCAGAAAAAAATTCTAGAAATCAATTTTACCCGGCGAATTTAATCTGCGTTGGAGTAGAGGTTGANCGACCACGTAATTAGAATTGGTCAGTTGGAATCCTCATAGGACACTTCATTGTTTATCTGTCATGAGCTCGTTTTAACTTAAAGGAAAACTATGATCTGAAACTAGTGATAATCATGTATCAATAAAGTGCGTTTAATCTCAAGTAGAATAATAGTTTTCACAGTTCTGATTGCCCAGAGTTATCTAGGGAAAGTTGATTACCGGTATACTTTCACATAGGCAAAACAATAAGGTTTAATAGCTCTACATCCTGGTAATGGACTTCGGTCGAAACGAATAGAAGAAAAAAAATTAAATAAAGGTTCATTCTGTGTTCAATAGTAGTTCACTTTGCGCGAGTCCACTTGCTGGACTTCATTTAGCTAGCGGGATTTAAAATTCTTGCATGAAATTGAGGCGTGTGGTTAGCCGATCCAAGATGGCGCCCAAACCTTAGAATTAGCACAGCATCTAGAAAGAAGCGACAGGAATCATTCGAGTATGCGTTTGAGTATGCGTTCTTCTCAAGTGGAGCGCAATTATGCTCGCAAAATCTGTTCGTAGTTGTTTGAATCCTCGTTTTGTTATTCGTTGCGTTTACTTTAAAATCTATTTTTTCCAGTGGGGTCAGGTTATGTGCACGCACACGTGCCAAGTCTGTAAGGATAATGGTCAGACCTATATGGAGGGCGAGACATGGAAATCAAGTAACGATAGTTGTTACACCTGCAAATGTGAGGTAAGCGAATCTTTAATTATGTGAGCAAGGATGAACAAAGAAAGGCCATTAATTTAATGGAAAATGAATTATTTACTTATTGATCTGTTCCTACCCTAGGATGGTAAAGTCACATGTTCACCCCCAGTCTGTGCGAAGCCTGACTGTAGCGGGAAATCAGGTGTCCTTGTAACTCTTAAGGGACAGTGCTGCCCAATTTGTAAAGGTGAGTGTTCATTAAAAATTCAAATCATATATCACAAAAATTCAATTATTGCGCAGGCATCTTGTCGATCAGCGTCTTCTATCTTTCCCAACAGTTGTGAAAGCGTTTCAAGGCAAAGTTTGAGAAGGTCAATCGCGCTTCATATTTAACAATTATTCGCCGAAGGCGAGGTGAATATTGTCGAATAATCCCCGAGACGAAGTTGAGGGGATTATTCGACAATATTCACCGAACTTGAGGCGAATAATTGTTTTAATATAATTTCAGAGCTGAACAACAGAGAAATTTCTAAGATCATAACATTTTAGTAACACTTATTAACATTTTAGTTTAACATATTATATAAACCGCGCGGAGCGGTTTATATAGCGTCATATAAGGAACCACTCGACCAATCAGACTGCTGGAAACTCTTTGTTCAGCTCGGAAATTATACTAATAAGGGATATAACGAGGCACTCTTAGATTCTTACATTAAGCGATATAATGGGGCATTCTTAGAGGAGTTGATCTAAAAAAAAAAACGCTAGAAAATAGATAGGCCTCATGTATGTCTCGTTTCATTCATCATTGAAATCTGATCATATAAATTTGTATCCAGATTTAATGCTTTGTTCAATTTTCCTTATCATTTTCATTTCGTTAGAGGACCAGTGTCGGGGTACTGGAAAAGTTTTCAAGTGTGGTTGTGACGTCACCTGCTCAAATTTCCATGACTTCAAGTGCCAATCATGTACTGAGAGCTGCTTCTGCCCTGAAGGGAGAGTACTCAATGATCAGGGAAAATGCATGGCATCTGCTCGCTGTGGCTGTTTGCACCAAGGAAAGAGATACAAGGTAAGGAAATAAACTTAGATTAAGAAGCTCTCAAGTGCTTACTATTTACAACTCGCGAGGTACTCAACAAAAGTTTTAAACCCCATGAGTCGTTATTAAATAGAAGTTCAATTTGGGCCGTGATTTTTAATGATCAATGAACCTCGACAGTTCTTTACTTATGGAATTTCTCCATAACATAAACGCATCAAGGGTGATTGCCGTATTACACCCATGTTTGTAAAGAGAAGGAAAGTTTAGCTGAGGAAATGCAAATAAGAAACTGGCTTTTCTATGAATTTTTTCACACCATAGATGCCATAGATTTACAACTGCAAAGGTTCCTGTTTTATTTTTTTCATATTATTACTAGTTTTGCTGTTACTATTACTATGATCATCATTTATTTTTTTACTATACTGATATAACATTTTTATTTTCTATCGCTGACAGCCATTGGACCAATTTTCCGACAATTGCCAGTTCTGTTTATGCGTCGGTGGGAAAATGAATTGCTACAAATGGTGCTGAATCATCGTTTGACCAAGGAACACTTCTCTAAAAATTCTGTGATTAATTTAATAAGTCTTATCTTATTGGATAGGGTAATTTGCTTTTATCAATTGAGTCGATAATGAAAATTGCCCACCTTAAAGGGCTTCAAAGTTGACGTCTCGAGCGTTAGCCCTTCGTCAAGTGAATGAGGAAGCGTTGTTTATTATTAACTTGTTATACTCGTATAGCAGCAAAGTCAAACAAAGTCCGTTGATCGATCGACGGCCGATCGTAAAACCTTTTAGAAGTCGCTGACCGATCCACGGCCGATCGTGTTTGAAAAAATTCGAAAACTATCCACGGCCTTTGCGTGGAAAAACACGATCAGCCGTCGAGGAAATGAGAGATTGGGGAGAATGAAACGAACAATTTCCAAAGATATTATCCTACGAACACTTGTGAATACATCAAAAGTAAAATTTTATTCCTATGGTCATTTATAATTACAATTATTTTGGACTTTGGCGAACTGACATGAGACGTTGGCCAATCGACCTCAAACGTTGGCGAACTGACGTTGGTGAACTGATACGTTGGCGAAACGACCAGTTACCCTTCGTCGTTCGTCCTTCGCTCTGACGAAGGGCTAACCTCGAAACGAAAGCTTTGAAACCCTTAGCGGTAGCCAATTTACATTCTCAACTAAGTTGATAAAACCAAATTACCTTGTTACCCAACGCAGCGCCACAATTTCTTTAAAAAACTTACCCCCTTTATTCATTTATCTTATAGATTATTCATTTATCTTATTGATTATTCATTTATCTTATTGATTATTCATTTATCTTATTGATTATTCATTTATCTTATTGATTATTCATTTATCTTATTGATTATTCATTTATCTTATTGATTATTCATTTATCTTATTGATTATACATTTATCTTATTGATTATCGGGCTCCCGTATGAATTAATAGAACAAGGGACTCCCGTGTGACTGAATAGAACAAGGGGGCTCCCGCATGAATTAATAGAACAAGGGACTCCTGTGTGAGTGAATAGAACAAGGGACTCCAATGTGAGTGAATAGAACAAGGGGCTCCCGTATGAATTAAAAGAACAAGGGACCCCTGTGTGAGTGAATAGAACAGGGGACTTCCGTATAATAAATAGAACATGGGGTTCCCATCTGAACCGAATATACTGCATATAAAACGAGAAACAGGCAAAGTTTAGAAAAGAAATGAAGGAAAAAGGATTAATTTCTGACAAGCCGGATGCAAACATGAACGAAGCTATAATTCGAATTATATATTACTTTAAACAATGAAGCAAGTGAAGTTACGCAACGAATAATACACAATTACGTAATATGACGCCGAGAAAACAATTGGCACTAATCATAATGTAAAAATACGGATCAGAGGTTGAATATGATATCATAAATTATCAATGCCAAGGTCTTAGAAATCTGCCGCAGATAGGTGGGACGCAGTATTTCTTCAGTGATACTAAGGTTGCTCCTACGTCTTGCACAAATTTGGACCAAAATTAAAGCTTTAAACATGCAGTCGAAGGAGGACATTTTGGCCTCTTACTCGCATGAAAAGGAGCTTGAAAGAGCCAAGTGGTATAAGGAGGACTTGGATAAAGGCGGCTGGACAGAGGCGAGCAGAGGTCCTGTTTATGTCTACTGAATCAAAACGTTTCCAGATGGAGAGGTTCCAATAAAAGTGTTAGGATTTTATGACATGCCACCGTCGGCTGAAACTTACTTTGAAGTACTGAATGCAAGAAACCGGGAGAAACGAGATAGGTGGGACACAGTAAAACAACCAAAAACTACTATCATACTTGACGATCAGATATGCGAATGACTCAAAATCCTGATTTCCGCACCAAAGCCCACTGCGTGGCATACGTTATTCAGCACTGTCACAGGCAACGCAATCTCGATCGCAGAGACACGAAGAAAAACATTCATCTCCAATGGAAAGCCAATTTTACGATTTAAAGGATAAACAACAAAATTAAAGACCAATAGGGGTAAGGCATATTTCAGTGTACAATTATACGTAGGTAGTGTATGGCTTACATCCTATTTATAAAGCCACAATGCTGATAATATATGTTTGCAAATTGTTAGAGGAAGCGGATCGTCTAGCACGCGTATAAAAAGCCCATTGCAGAAACGTGAGAGGACTGGGAAAGGGTGTGGTTGTTTTCCGTTTGTTTGAAAAACTAAGATATTCAAATCTAAATCTAAATCTAAATATCGTTATGTCGGCAAAATCGTTCAGGACATCACGCCAACTCAAATGAAAGATCAACTAAATTTGAGAGTCTTAAGCAAGAATAGAAGTATTTAGAGGAGGAAAATGGCAAAATGACAGCTCTTCAAATATCACCTAAAACACAGGCAGCCCAAGCTCACTACTAGAAAAGCGGACGTGACTATTACCGTGTTGCGCAACGTTTTATATTTATAAAAGTTTGTATGGGATGTTATCGGTTTGCCTTAAAAGAGAGAAAAAAATGTTTTGTTTCAAAACAAGACATTTTTTTCTCTCTTTTAAGGCAAACCGATAACATCCCATACAAACCTTTATAAATATAAAACGTTGCGCAACACGTTAAGGCCCCGTCCACACGAAGACGATTGTAAACGCAAACGCTAGTAAACGCAAACTTTTTTATGCGTTTAGGCCTTCCGTCCACACGAAGACGATGAAAACGCTCACCGTAAACGCATAAATTCGAAAACGCTCTCCAAAGTGGATAAATTTGAAAACGCCGTTTATGCGTCTTCGTGTGGACGGCCGTAAACGTATATTTTCGTAAACGCTGTGAAAACGCTGACGTCAGATGTCAACACCAGTCTCTTTTATCGAGTACGTTTCCAACATGGCTTACACACGAGTGTTGAGCTGTGTCATGCTTGCGCTTATTTC